AGAACTATAGCTGAGAAACAGGGGAATCTACCTACTGCTATCACCTGGTTGACCATCCTGATGTCTATCATAACAACTCCGCAGCGGAGAAGTCAGAGCTCCTAAGGGATCATGGCAACAGGACTAAACTACAAACAAGAAACTGCACAGTAAAGAAATACTGAAAATATGCATGAATGCAACGACTAAACAAACAAGGCGCGAAGGCCGCAAACCACAGAGGCAAGGGAGCTCAGCTCTACCGAATACCAACAAGCAAAGCCACGCAATAACAAACAAGCAGAAGGAGGACCACCTCAACTTCTTATGCACACAAAGTCTACTTCTAAGATGCACCTACTCAGAACTATCTGGATGAACACCTAAGTCTAATGCAACATAACATCATACAAGTCAAACAATACAAAGAGACTAACCCTGAGCAGGGCCCCTAACAAACCTGAAACAATCTCCTAATAACTCTAAACAAAACTCTACACAGCACCCTAAGCAAAGATCTAAGCAACAACTAAAACCTTAAGCATGAGGAATCAATCCCAGTCTCCAAGCTTCAGAACAAGCTCACCAGAGAAAAGGGAGCTAAGCAGACAAGCTCATAGTGCCTTCCTCAGGAAAGTACCAGGAGGTTACTACTCAGGAGTCATATCCTATGCGGCTCGACAACTGTGATCAGTTTACATTCCTCCTCAGGAGAAACTAAACTCACATGAAGGCTCCGGCATCACTGGATATTTGAGAAAACCTATATGCACTAAGGGAACTAAGTGAACAGACTCATAAGACCTTCCTCAGGAAAGTACTAGGAGGCTGACACTTAGGAATCGTATCCTACGTGGCTCAACAACTGTGATCAGTTTACATTCCTCCTCAGGAGAAATTAAACTCACAAGTTGGCTCCGACATCACCGGATACTTGAGAAATCCTAGATAAACTAATGGAACTAAGTGAATAGACTCATAGGACCTTCCTCAGGAAAGTACTAGGAGGCTTCCACTTAGGAATCGTATCCCATGTGGCTCAACAACATGTGATCAGTTTACATCTCTCCTCAGGAGAAATTAAACTCACAAGTCGGCTCCGACATCATTGGATACTTACGAAAGAGGTGAGAAGAAAGAATGAAAGTCATTCATAGTGCCTTCCTCAGGAAAGTACCATAAACTTCCTTCAAACTTCAGGATCTCGAACCTCACAAACAGACAACAAGCTCCTAGACTAAGCCTCAATCCACTGCATCTCTGCAAGCTCCAACAGGACTTCCATCAGCTCCCACCTTCAAGAAGAACCCACAGGCCAAGAAACCACAAGAGACTATCTCTGAAGTTCAACCACAGTTGAACTTCAAAGTCAGAAGTCATCAAGACTTCTCCTATCTTCAGGCTCAGACAAATCACATCAGGACACCCTACAAAAATCTAACAAAATCTAATGGGAGACCTACATGGCTCTAGGATAACATACTGAAAAATCAGAACAAAATTCAACGCCAGATGAAAGAACTAAAATCAGCAACACAGACATATCCACAAACCAGTTTATCCAACATCAATAACAGTGAAAAAATGCAATTACAATAAAAATGCATGGTTAAGCTAATATTTTTGTACTATAAAATTCTACACTGAATCACGAGTCTACAGAAAAAAGAACGGAATTATTTGACTAAATCTACCATTTTTTATGAATTTTCTAATGATATGCATGCATTGAAAATATTAAAAAGAAATCAATTAATTGGAAAATATGCAAAAAATGGCAAACAAAAATAAAATGTCATTTTTATTTTTATTTAATTTCCTTAACATTTTCATGAAATGGTAGAAAAAAGAATTATTAAAACAACAATTATTTACATTTATTATGATTTATTTACAAGCCATGAAAATATAAAAGAAAATCAAAATAAAAGAAAATGACATGGGGGCTCAAACAGCAATATATTCTAGTTATTAATTCATTGGGCCTATGCTGGTGGGGGTGCTGGAAGCAATAGGGCGCAGGGCCCAAGTTCAGAAACCAAACAATCAGAAAAAAAAACATATGGGGGGTGCCGCTAGCAGACTTTCCAGTTGTTATTATTACTGGGCTCAAACGAGGGGGGTGCTACTAGCAATAAGGGCCTAAGGCCCAACTGAATCACTCAGTCTCACACGCTAGGGGGGAACGAGCAATTGAGGGGGGTGCAGCGTTCAGAAAACGCGTTTGGGCTTAGCCCAATACCCCAACCCTAATCTGAATGAACCCTAAACAAAACCATCTCCCTCTCACAAGCCTAGCTACTGTTCACGCTCCTAATTCTAACTGCGCTCATCCCCCCAAATCTCCCCTCTGCAACTCTCGAAGACTCTCAAAACAATCTCAAACCCTCACACATCCTGAACGAAAACTACACTTTAATCCACTATCACACCTGAAATCAACCTTCATCTAACACTCCCAGATCGAAATCAGGCCTCAACAGTTCATGCTAGAATCATATCAACAACGATTCAACCAAACCCTAACCACGCACGAGTAAACAAATTGCAAGGAGGATGAACAAACCTGGAGGAATGACGAAGATCCTGGAACTGAAGAATGTTGAAGGAGTTCGCTGAGATCTTGAAGATTTCTGGAGAAAACCTCGTAGATTCTTGAAGATTGGACGAGGAATGAAGGATGAAGATGGCAGTTGTGATGATGAACGCGTGGGACGTTAGATTGAGTTCTGAGGATCTTGATACAGATTCTGGAAACTCTTCATAGCTGAAGATTGGATGATGTGATGAAGCTGGGTGGATTCTGGAAATTCTGGGATGAAGATGATGGCGTTCTGGAGAATTTGATGAAGCTTGTTGAAGGTTTGAGTTGTTCTGGAAAAAAATGATGGAGGATGAAGGTTCAAGGTGATTTCTGGAAATTATGGGATGAAGATGATGAAGGTGGAAGGGAGGAGATCGGAGGAAGGAGATGAGTTTCTGGGGAAAAATGGTTGTTTGCAGATTCCGGTGAGTGAGACGGTGGCCGGAGGTAGTTGCGGGGTGGCCGGCGGTGTGCAGTTAGGGCTGATGCATGGCCGACGGTAGGGGGCTCCGGCGAGGATGGGGGGAAGACAGGTGTCTCAGGGAAGTGTTTGCATGGGATACACGTGTCCTGGGGGAGAGAGTCAGAGGGTGGCGTGGCGTGGGGATTGAGAAACGCGTGGGGCCTCTGAGTGTGTGTAACGTGTGCTCCCTCCTGAGCCAACACGTGGCTCTGTAGTATTTATATCACTGAAAAATCTGGATCTTTCTGGAAGTTTCTGGAGAGGACCTGACGAGTTTGGACTTGCTGGACCATTTTTTTGGACTTTCTGATTTGCAACAATGAGAATTGGGCCTCAAAAGAGCACCCCTGGGCCCATACGAATCACAAAAAAACTGTAAAAAAACTGAGTTAAACAAACAATTAACTAAATCTGATTAATGTCTAATTAGCACTAATTAATCTAATGATTAACTAATAAACTCTAAACAAAAATTAAAACCCTAATCAACTCTATATCAACCTAATTAAATCTGAAAACAATTAAGAACCTAATTAACTCTAAAAAGAATCAATTAACCTAATTAAACTCTAAAAAGTGAATTAACCTAATCAAACTCTAAAAAATGATTAACAGTCTAATTAACTCTAAATCAATCTAATTTTCTATTAAAAATCTAATATTATTTAATATCTATTAATAAAAGAAAAACTATATTATTTTCTATATTATCTAAAAAACACTTAAACCTATTTAAAATCTATAGAAAAATTCTAAACTATTATTATCTATTAGTAATAAAAGAAAAACCATATTCCCCTTTTCTTTATTATTCTAAAGATTATTTAAAATCTTATTTATTCTAAAAATCTATTTAAAAATTCTATAAAATCCCAAAAAGAGCATTAAACTATTAAAAAATTCAAAAACCCTATTTAAATTCCAGAAAAATCTATGAGCCTGTTAAAAATTCACAAAAGCCTATTAAAACCCTAAAAATGCAGATGAATGCAAATGACCCCCATAAAAGAGCGCACGAGACCAGATCGAATCGAACAGAGATCCCCGGGCATCAGAATATCCTCAAAATCACTGTACAAGCTAAAAATCACCGAGGAGCGCACAATTTCCCGAAAATAAAACCCTGGTGATCTGGACTGGGTCTGCTATATCTGATAGACAAAAATCAAGCTGTAAACTCTGATATCCCCTGCTTGTGCACAAAAATCATCTGTCTGATTTGCGAATATGAATTTAAACCACGAGTCAGATAGGAGAATCGGTTGGTCAAATTTTAGGGTGCAACAACGTCAGCTACCGGGAAACTCACGATTCTGGGTTTTTTCTTTTAGGGGTTTTGTTTTTGATGGCGGATCGAAAAAGGGTGGCTCGCGGCGGCGATGTTTAGAAGGGTTCTCCGGCGGAACTTTAGCGGTGACAGAAGAGGCCTTGCGACGGAAGTGGCTCTGAGGACACTCCGAGAGTTTCGCCACCGGCAGCGGTTTCACGGTGGAGTTATCGCAGATAAGTTTATTCTTTTCGTTGCATTCCTTTCGTGATGATTTTCTCTGCGTGTGGCTTTTCCTGTGATGTGTTTTTGCGTTTGTGAATTTCTGTGATTTGTGAATATGTGTTGTGCGTATTTGTTCTTATGCGCCTTTTTTTCTGCTATGAAAATCATCCCCTTTTATAAACCAAATTCCTCTAAACGAATTGAAAAGTGGATTAAGGGCTTTCCAATTTGAGTCAGACATGTTTGCAGCCTGTTCAGATTTTCTTTCAATGCCTTCAAATTCATTTTGATGACAGTTGGGGCATGTTTGATTTAATTTGGTAAATTTTGAATGCTGTGGTAAATGAGTTTTTGCTTTCACTTAATTTGGTATGAACATGATTGATCGATGAACTGTCATGAATACTTGGATTTTGTGTTGAAAACTTGCCATATCTTCTTTGATCCTTATTCAATCGTTATTGAAGTTTCTGTAAAAGAACATGATATCAATCGGAGAACTTGGGCTCGCTCAACCGGGTATTCAAACCACAAACTGTCGAGGGAACGATATCAATCGCAGAAATAAATTGCGCAGTCTTTGTAGCAAAACTTTCCTGGAAATAACGGCTCCGATAGGGAAATACAGCATCAGCTATTCAACAACACTCTACTGGGGAAAACCAATCATAGCCTCAAAGGCTTCCAAGGACTCGGCTCTCTTGGGGATTTGCCAGCCCGACTGTGGTAAAAGGAACCATCCTGCTTACTGGGGAAGAGTACAACTCTGTGGGGAATTTCAATTCTCCAGGAGACTTCAGTCTGGACTACCGGAAGCTGCATACTTGCGAGTAGTCTTCTACGAAAACTGCACTTTGACCCATAAATCGTCACTAATAAGTTTCTGTTTTAATGCAATTTGTAAATAGAATTTTAGTCAAAACAGTTGGAGATAATGCAATTTGTAATTACTTGCTGCAGGGAACGATATTTATATGAGAGTGTTTATTTAACATTTTTTCTAAAGATTTTAAAATGCTTGTTCAAAAGAATTAGCTATTTGACAAACTGTTTTTTGCAAGTTGATCTAATTGACAGCATAAACATTCATTTGACTTTAAGCATTGTAGCATAGAAAAATAAACCATCTTGATGCAATCTGCAACTCTTCTCCATGCAGATTTCCCGATACATGCCCTGATATTTGTTGCTTATGGTCCCATATCAGACCATTTTCATCAAATGAAACAATGCAATTCAGTTATCCAAGCTCCAATAAATCAGAAATGAACATTTTATAACTGGTTTATGGCCAAACTGAGATGAAGAGCTGACCTCTGATTAAAACTATCCATGAGTTGTTAGTTAATAGTTGCGCCTTGATTTAAACCTGTCAAGTTAATCGTACATAGTTTTAATTACTTACCCCAAATGAATCTTTTCTATTTTTCAGCAAGGAAGTCCCAAAAACTGATGAAAATAATTGTGTTATAATTGGTTTATTATGCAAAACTGATTACAAAAACATATTAGTAACATCCTTCTCTAATTCTTTTAACTGACCATGGATAAAAAAAGTTCATTTCCAGTTCAAACTCTTTTGTATAGTCTCTCTGCCAATTTCTAACTTACATAGTAGCACAGACACATTGGGCTTGTTTGGATAAGCAGCTTATTTGCAGTTTATAGCTCTATCTCCTTTCTACATGCTATTGTTCAAGACACTATAATCAAATATAATGACTAGTAGTATTACAATACAAAAATAGTTTAAAGAGAAGAAAAATTCATTTATTCTAGACGTTAGGAGTTAAGAGTTCCTGCCAACAACAAAGTTGCTTTTATAAAAAGCATGTTTTAACTCAACTTTATTATTTTCTTTTTGTACAGAAAGACATGAGATCTTTTTAATCTTAAAGATATTAGAGGAGTTAAATCTGCCAACATAAAGAGAAATTGTCACAAACTTAATAAGTTCGCACCTAGTTTTCATGCAAGAACATAATTTGATATCTCTATCGATGTTGGTCGGTAAAACTCAAAGTAGGTAGTTTTCTATCAGAGAATTCAATCTGCTCGATACAGGACAAAAGCTATCAAAGTACTTAATTATCATAGTGGGTCTTCAGAGTCACTTATTCGACCATTATCACACGGAGGAGACATGTTTGCACATGCTGACGATATACAATAAATTTACATAAATGCTAGTAACTCATTATCTCGTTTTGGACGGCCATTGTTACATCCAATCTCGAACAAAAAAGGTTGTGTTCTACTTGATTATAGTCATAACTCGACTTAACTTGATATTCCAGAATGTGGACAAACCGACCACATGAATTTTTTGGGATGTATCATGTAATACCCTTCTAAAGCCACGAATATTTCGTAAATAAATTAATAAATAATTCAACATAATGTACCAACAAGGGTATCACATCGTCGCAAAAACATCTTGAATAAACATCCGGCTCCGTAACACGGTTTCTCAAAACATTTAACATAATCATTTTTTCACTAACGTCAGCAAAAATTCAAACTTCGCAGTGGAATCATAATCTCAAAGTAATTGATTTTTCTTCATCAAACCTTTAAATATTTTGGTCATTATCAAAAGTCACATCTTCAAATAAATCTAATCATATAGAAATCTCTTAAAATAAGTCTAACAAAACAACATAATATTCGACTCAAGCGTTCCCCACCTGATGTTACATATCAGAGCAAGACACCACAATTATTAACGGAAATAGAGTAAAACAACTCCAAAGCTAAGTCTCCACGCATCTACGAGCTAATCTTGATCATCTGCACGTTACCCACGTGGAGGCAACATTCAAACAGGCAGGGTGAGTAATCACAATTCATTACAAAAGATATAAGAAAAAGATATAGTAGTTACAACAACAATTATCAATAATTCATATATTCGTCACACATCACACACATACTCACATTGTCACTTCATTTAGTTATTCACAACATCATTATATCATCAATCAATCATCATCACCAAAACATCACTTAAGTCACAACATCATCAAACATCAAACTCTCATGCATGTGGCACCAATTCTTTGATGAACACTTGGCCATCTCCCTCCAAAGATCCCCACCAAAGACTTGATTCTCACTTGGAACCATATCACATAATAAAACACACTCAATCCACACAATGGGATTGAGGCCACCACTGGACCGAAGCCCTAACATCGTCACTGGACTGAAGTCCTAACATCGTCACTGGACAAACGTCCTAACACATGCCATGAATGTATGATGCACAACGCCAATAATAATTCGACCACGGCTAGTCAATTGCATCATATTTCATGTAATCATCATAATAAAATCCTTCACATAACATGTATGCACATAAAACATGTTTAAGTGTCAATTTCATTCAACACATCACATAATCATCATAACATAACATTTATACATCATGTTATCACACACGTCATCAAACACACTACAAGTAACATTTATCACATCACCTTAATATCAAAGTCATCATAATTAATTCCACAACAACATAATTACTATCGTTAGACATAGAACAACGTCAATTATTAATTACACAAAGCCTTTTCATACATTTCACGTCAAATAGTTGGAATTATAATATGACTCTTACTTTAGTTGATTCATGTGTTACCCATCTGTTTGGTATCTTACAATAAGTGTTAGTAGATGTTGATGATTTAGTTTTTCCTGTATATTTTATGGTACTTGATATGAACGGAGATTCAAGAGGGTCGGTTATTCTTGGACGCCCATTCTTGGCAACTGAAAAAGCTTTGATAGATGTGGAAATTGGTGAGCTTGTCTTGAAGTAAAACAAATCAAAAATGGTTTTCAATGTGTATGAATGAATACCCTATATGGAGGACTTGGATACATGCTATCATATGGAGGAAAACGGTAGTAAGGTTGACAAAGGCAAGGAAACAAGTGAATTGACCAGCGTGAAGGCATCCCTTGCGCCTGACGTGCCTTAGGCATGGACCCTCAAGCTAATGACAGAAAAGAAGCACTTGATGGGAGGTAACCCATCAGTAATTATCTAATTTATTTTTACATTAAATTTTAATTTTTAACTAGTACAATTGTGTGTTGTGATGCTACAAGAAAAAACAGGTAAAATAAGAGAAGAAAGAAAAAGACAAAGGAGAAGAAAAAATAAGGAAAAAGCTTAAGCCCCTAGAATAATCACATAGGCTATCACGCGCGTGATAGAACTCTATCACACGCGGTATATATGCATAACACGCATGATAGAGACGTTGGGGGAGAATTTGAGTATTGTTAACATTGCTTGTGAGATGAGGGCATAACGCGTGCGATATGGATGTTATAGAGAGACGTTGGGGAAGACTGTTGCCATCGCGCGCCCGATGGATGTATAATGCACGCGATGAGCAACAACTAGTTGGCCTGTAAATAGTGATTTTTCAAATCACTTTCTCCATAACTATTTTCCTTCTCATTCTGATTCTCACAAATTCATCTGAGCATACTCTCTGCATAATTCTTTTCTTTTTCTCAATGCAGTTTTGTTTTTAATTTGTGTTGCTCTAGGTACAAATGGATTCAAAGAGAGGAAGGTTGACTAAAGGTTCATCTTCAAGATTTGCAAGGTTTTGGAGAGGTGGTGGAGGTGCTGCAACAAATGTGTTGGGTAAGCTTCAACAATTTGATTTGTGAAGCAAACAAAACCATATGCCTAGAATTTTATGCAAACACGACATATGGTGAGGTAGGTGTAACACCCTACTCTACCCATTCATATGATAATTAAAAATACAAAAATAAATGCAGAAATTAATCAGAGTTACACACGTAGGATGCCACATCATCAAACATCAATATGAAGTATCAAATCACTTCATATCTCTTTCATTAATAAAAGCAAATAATTTGATTAAACAACAGAATTAATTCAAATGGTTTAACATTAAAACTCAAATTACATTAAATCTCCACAAAGTACGTGGTTCAATAACATTAATCAAAACCAGATACATAACAAATACAATGTCAAATAATACAAAGAAAATACGAAACCCCCATCCTTCTCATTTATGTATCAGATCGACTCCTAAGACTCGATCAAATAGCAACACATGCTCAAAGCACTACTCAAGTACCCGATTATATTTATTCCCCAGGGAGCACAGACACAACAAACGAAAAAGAGGTCAGAACTACATTCAACAATGCAAGGTGAAAATCACATTCTAAGGAGTAGTTATCACACAAATCACATCAATCGTGCAATCACAATGCACATACAAGTGCCACACAAATACTGGGCATATTCAGCCCATATTCAATCATATACATATACAATGTGACTTAACTGACACGACAGAATTCATGCGGTACCATCACAATCACATACTGTTCACCCTTGAACCTGATTCCTGTTAGAATCCGGATAAGTCATATACGTTGTCGCAACTGCGAAAAACAACTGGCAGAAAACAGAAGAGTCGCCACATTTCGTTATTTATCCCGAAGAGAGGGAAAGGAAACGATCGGAAAAACTTGACGAAAGGGAAAGACAAGGTCATCGCAACCAAGTCCTGGGTTCGGGAGTCGGTTACGCAAGGGGAAGGTATTAGCACCCCTCACGTCCGTTGTACTCAATGGGATCCACGCTTGTTTGTTATCTAAAAGGATGATTATCTATCTACGCTACAGGTCTCAAGGACGAAAGAAAAAGAAAGGAGAAGTGACTCGGCAGAGCATCGCAGCTCCGGGCCTACGTATTCCCTCGTGCAATGGGAAAGTCAGAGTCAACGTAGTTCGGATAACTACGGGAGAGAAGGGGGAAGGTTGCTCGCCAAGACATCGCGTCTTGTACCCACGTACTTTCATCTGGCATGAAAGATCAGAGCGAAACATAGTTCAGGCGGACACG